CAAATGCAAATTTTTCATAAGCTCTTCATTAATCATTAATAGTTTTTACTGTATTCTTGTATGCACAATGATTATTGAAATCTCCTCCGGAGGAGTAATTATTTTTTGATTATTTTTAGAGGAAGAAAATGAGCGCTGCTATGGGAGAAACAACTTCTACTAAAATTAAACTTTTGGACTCACTTGAAATCGATGGTAACAAGCAAATCAATCGTGCCATCAAATTAGCTCAAAAACGACACAAAAAGAGGAACAAAAAGCTTCGTATGTTCTTTTCCTGTTTTTTTTTAAATTGGTTTTTTTTTTTTTTTTTTTTGAAATTGAGCTTTTTCTCTACAGTTACTTTCAGTTTGGTAAGACTAAAATTTTTCGCATGCCCTGGCTACTGAAGTATCCAAGAGTTTGGAAAAACAATTGATCCCATTTGTTGCATTGTCATCATGCCTTCTGTTTATGTGCAAATGCAAAAGTGCGTATTATGACGACCCATGGTGTCTGTGTGTATATTTGTATTTATGTATGCATGTGATTGTGAGTGTATGTGTGGGTCTATCCGGATATTTTAAGTCGGCCAGCAAGCAAGCTTCGATCCTGGAATTTTGCTTGTAGTTTCCCTAACCAAGCACCACCCAGGCACGCATTGTCAATCTCTGCGCACGCCTGACACCTGCGTACGGGCACGTAAAAATAGGGCGGAAACTGCTAAATCAGGAGCCACAAAAGTTAGAAAGCTGGAAATTTAAAAGGATGTCCCCCGTTCACTTGCAGCTTAGTGGTTTCAAATTCAACCTCCAGATGCGCGTGGATTTCACGTGCGGCCGTGTGAGAGGGTTTTGGTGGGAAAATTGCTGATTCGGGAATTAAAAAAGAGGAAAGGTTGAAATTTCAAGGGATATTCCCCAACCACATAGAACTTGAAGATTTCAAATTCAGCCTGTAATTATATGCGACTGTCACATAAAATGGCTAACTCGGCGACCCGAACGGCCAGGTCATTTCCAATGAACGGCCGCTCAACGGAAATTATTATTCTTTTTTTTTAACGCGAAAAT